GAGGTCCAGGCTGCAGGATCCAGGATGTTGCTCTTTCTCCTGGGGGAGCAGGAGAGCCATGCACTTTGAGCACAGCCTGCTTCCTGCTCCCTTCACAGTGCTTCCGGTGTTCACAGGCTCCACCTGCCTGCAGGAAGCACAGGGAAACCTCTCGGTGGGCGCCCCCTAGAGGCCGGCGCCCTAGGCGAATGCCTTATTCGCCTTAATGGTAGCGCCGGCCCTGTCTGGCACCCCCCCTCCACAGTGGGCGGCGACCCGGCGGCTCGGATCGGATTCGCACAGCCAGCACTGCAGAGAGAGTGAGTGAGCCAGGCAGTGGCAGAGAGCTGCGAGTGTGAGCACGCCCCCCCAGATGTTGCGCCCGGTGCGGCCGGCCCCCCCTGCACCCCCCACGCTACGCCTCTCGTGAGCTGCCACCTTGATGATGCCTACTTGAGTGGGTAGCAGGATAGCATCCATAAGTGCACTCACGGCTTCTTGATTGGAATTCCTGCTGAGGTGAGAAAATCACGAGCCCGCCACATAGGGCCAAAATCATGGGCTATACCAAAAGCATAGCGAGAGTCTGTATAAATATTAGCAGTCTTACTAGAAGCCATTTTACACGCTTCAGCAAGTACCTTCAGCTCTGCCTCCTGTGCAGAGCAGTGAGGAGCGAGTGGTTCAGCTTTTATTACCTCATGTGCAGAGACTACAGCATATCCAGTGTGGAAATTACCCTTCTCATCAGCATATCTGGAACCATCTACAAAAAACTCAAAATCTGCATTAGATAATGGAGAATCAATTACATGCAAAAAAAACAGCTGTTTGTGCCATTAGTGCTGCACAATCATGGGGTACTTGGGCTAACTCGTCTGGTGAAAGTGGTGAAAGTACATTTACAAAAAGATCAGAAGTACAAGTACCGTTCCCACTATCCCCACTCCCCTCTTTTAAATCCAGGGGAAGTAATGTAGATGGATTTAACACCATACACTTTTTAAGAATAACATTAGCTGGCATAAGCAAGGCGCATTGCATTCTGAGATGCCTTGCAGTATGTATGTGTTTTGGTTGAACTTGTGACAGTATGCTGTTGTTATCATGCGGTGTGTATATGGTCACTGGGTTATCTAAAACAATATCAGTGGCTTTGTCCAGGAGGGCAGTAACAGCCGCCACTGCCCTAACACATGAGGGGGCACCCCTGGCAACAGGGTCCAATCTGGTGGAGTAGTATGCTATTGGTCTTTGTTTACCACCATGGTCCTGTGTAAGGACAGATGTAGCATAGCCTGATTGCTCAGTACAGAACAGGTTAAAATTATTTCTGTAATCTGGGAGACCCAGTGCCGGAGCGGACGTTACCAGTAACTTGAGGGTATAGAAGGCATTTTCTGCCGCATGGGTTAATTTAAATGGTTTGTTTTCGTTGGCAAGACAATCATACAGTGGTTGCATGTAGATAGCTACAGAATGCAGCCAAGGATGGCAGTAAGATATCAAACCAAGAAATGTGCGCAGCTGGGCTAGGCTGCGGGGGGGGGGTTAATATTTTGAACTGTAGTCTTTCTACTTTCCGTGAGATGTTTTATGCCCTGGGAAATGCAGTGTCCTAGGACAAGGGTAGGCAACCTTTTGTGCCGATATAGGATTGTGATGTCCCATAGCGTGCCGGTCCTATTTTTTTTTAAATTGAGGTGTGTATGCTGCCGTATTCTGCATGTGTTATTTATACTGTAATTGCTTTGTATTATTGTATTTGTGCGTATATGAGCTATTATATTGTATATGTTCAGAAGTAGTTTGTGGTATCGTGTATGATACATATGAATGTAAGCTGGGGCTGCTTGTGGAATTGTGTGTGTAGATGGATATGTCACATTGTGTGTTTGATAGTGTGTGTATGTGTGGGGGCTGTTTGGGGTATGCATGTGAGAGGCTGCATGTGGGGTTGTGTGCATGTATGTGGATTGTTAGTGGGTTACTTTTGTGCGGATTGTATGTATGTTTGTTTGTGGGCTGTTAGTATTATTTGTATGAGGGGAGGGTTATTGTGCAGTTCTGTGTAAATTTAGCAGTGTGGCTTCCCTGGGTTCCAGTGGGGACCAAGCTGGCCAGGTACAGGTCAAGGACTGGAGCAGCAACAGCATCTGCAGGCTGTTCTACTACAGTGTGGATTCCCATTCACAAGTGCTGGGACGAAGTGATCTGCAATGCATAAATTGAGGATTGTCCTTCACCACCTTTTCATATTAGCAGATATCTGAAGTTTCACTGGGACTCCTGATAGGCCAGAGCCTGTTTGGCTGTAGCAGCCTTGAGTGCCGTGCATGGCACTAGTGCCGTAGGTTGCCTACCCCTGTCCTAGGAAAATAACTTTCTCTACACAAGCTTGCAGTTTAGTTTTTGTCGGAAAAAGGAAAGCTTGTTTACAATACAAGATTCCATATTATCGCAACATAGGAGTAGGTCATCGATATACTGCAATACAATTATGTTATTTGGCCTTTGCCACTCTTCAAGAATCTGGGCCATAGCCATGCTGTACATAGTGGGTGAGTTTTGTGCTCCCTGTGGCAATACTGTCCAAGTGTACTGCTTGTGTTTATGTGTAAATGCAAATAAAAACTGACTGTCGGGATCCAGCAGGACACTGAAAAATGCATTTGCCAAGTCAATAACAGTAAATACCTTAGAGGAAAGTGGTATTTGTGCCAACAAGGTGTGTGGGTTGGGAACATTAGGGGCAATCAGTTCAGTTACAGCATTAATTGCCCTCAAATCATGTACCATACGGTAGACCACAGGTTTCCCTTTCTCTTGCTTTTTCTTAATTGGGTGCAATGATGTGTTACAAGGGGAGGTGGTCTGGACAACTACCCCTGCCTGCAGAAACTCTTGCACAGATTGCAAAATAGCATCTTCCTGTGCTTTGCTTAGGGGGTATTGTTTTTGTTAGGGAGCTATGGCTCCGGGCAGGAGATTCACTTTGACTGGGGCACAGAGAGTCTGCCTGTATCTGTCTTCCCTATAGCCCATGAGGAATCAGGGACTGAGGACAAGTCAATGGTAGGTTCTGGCACATGGCTGGGCATAGTGAGAGTTGCCAGAACATTTGAAAGAGAATTCATTTGTTTGTCCTCCAAAGGCACAGACAATGTTACTTTTCCAGTGGGGCTATACTGGATATTTGCACAGAGCAGACAGTATATCACTGCAGGGGTGGACTGACCACTCACAGGGCCCTCGGCAGGGCAGGGCTGGACTGGCCCACCCGGATACCGGGAAATTTCCTGGTGGGCTGCCGGCACCTGGGGCCGGGGAGGCAGCTAGCTCTTCTTGCAGCCGCAGAGGGAGCCCTTTTGGCGGCCGCAGGGGGAGCTGGCTGTTCTGTGTCTGCTCACCCTCCCCAGCGCGCCGCTTAATGAGACGGGGGCCGGAATATGACGGTGCGCTGGGGAGGGGGAGCAGAGACAGAACAGCCAGCTCCCCCTGCAGCCGCCAAAAGATCTCCCTCTGCGGCCGCAAGAAGAGCCAGCTCCCCCATGCGGCCGCCATCAGAGCTACCCATGCCAGCACACCGGTAGCAATTGTCTGTGTCACGGTGCGTCTGTCTGTGTCACGGTGTGTGATGTTGTGTTCCTGTATGTCAAAGTGTTGTGCTAGATTAATCGTTTCTCTTGTTTTACCTATTGTACAGCGCTGCAGAATATGTTGGTGCTATATAAGTGATCTGTGTGGAGGCTGTATGCAGTATTGCAATGGTGGGTATGCGGTTTGTGATGTGTATGTATAGGGAGGCAGCATGTGGTTTTGTATGTGTGGGGATGCTGCTTGTGGGACTGTGTCTATACAGTGAGACTCCTTGTGGGTTTTTGCGTGTGTGAATAGGGCGATTTGCAGTGCATTATGTGAGTGGAGATAGCTGGCTGTGTTGCAGTGTCTGTGGGATAGAATCTGTAGTAGGCATCTGGTGGTTACTGGGGCTGTAGTGTGTGCGTGTTTGGATACTAGAGGCTCTACTGTGTATAAGTTGGATAGAAACATAGAATGTGACGGCAGATAAGAACCATTCGGCCCATCTAGTCTGCCCAATTTTCTAAATACTTTCATTAGTCCCTAGCCTTATCTTATAGTTAGGATAGCCTTATGCCTATCCCACGCATGCTTAAACTCCTTTACTGTGTTAACTTCTACCACTTCAGCTGGAAGACTATTCCATGCATCCACTACCCTCTCAGTAAAGTAATACTTCCTGATATTATTTTTAAACCTTTGTCCCTTTAATTTAAGACTATGTCCTCTTGTTGTGGTAGTTTTTCTTCTTTTAAATATAGTCTCCTCCTTTACTGTGTTGATTCCCTTTATATATTTAAATGTTTCTATCATATCCCCCCTGTCTCGTCTTTCCTCCAAGCTATACATGTTAAGATCCTTTAACCTTTCCTGGTAAGTTTTATCCCGCAATCCATGAACCAATTTAGTAGCCCTTCTCTGAACCCTCTCTAAGGTATCAATATCCTTCTGAAGATACGGTCTCCAGTACTGTGTACAATACTCCAAGTGAGGTCTCACCAGTGTTCTGTACAATGGCATGAGCACTTCCCTCTTTCTACTGCTAATACCTCTCCCTATACAACCAATCATTCTGCTAGCATTTCCTGCTGCTCTATTACATTGTCTGCCTACCTTTAAGTCATCAGAAATAATCACCCCTAAATCCCTTTCCTCAGATGTTGAGGTTAGGACTCTATCAAATATTCTGTACTCTGCCCTTGGGTTTTTACGTCCAAGATGCATTATTTTGCACTTATCCACATTAAATGTCAGTTGCCACAATTCTGACCATTTTTCTAGTTTACCTAAATCATTTGCCATTTGGCTTATACCTCCTGGAACATGAACCCTGTTACATATCTGTAATGGTATTTATTAATTAATGACTTTACATCATAAAGAAAGCATATTTAGTGTAATGCTTTGGGGCACCACTAGGGGGTGTAGGAAGACATGTGCTTCTGGCAGTGACATCACAGGCCAGCCTACTTACACTGAATAAAACCAGATGGAGGAGAAAACTCTGTCCTTTTGCCTGTACCTGACTGAACCTAAGATGTAGTACCAGCTTGGACTTAACCCCAGCCAAAGGGCTGGGGCCTTGTAAGTAATATGTTTGTATTGTAACAGTTAGCAATTGTAATACCCTTTTGTATAATATTTAGCAACCAATAGTGTTTTGTGTAGTATTGTATTGTATAATTATTGAAATTGACATTCCGCTAGCATCTGTTTATTTATTATAGTTATATTAAATATACATTCAACAGTGTTTTGTGTAGTATTGTATTGTATTGTATAATTATTGAAATTGACATTCCGCTAGCATCTGTTTATTTATTATAGTTATATTAAATATACATTTAATATTACAACGTTTTGTGTATTTTCTATCCACATATTCGACCATAATACCATGAATTATAAAAATATTAATGTTGTTCTGTATTGCTTAATTATTATGTATTAAGAGATTAATATTCATATTTAGGTCACGAGCCACAACAATATCTTAGTATCATCAGCAAAGAGACATACCTTACCATCAAGACCTTCTGCAATATCACTAATAAAACTATTAAAGAGAATGGGTCCAAGTTTCGAATATATTCCATTAACTACAACCCTCTGTTGCCTGTCACTCAGCCACTGCCTTACCCATTCAACAATATTGGAATCCAAACTTAAAGATTGCAGTTTATTGATAAGCCTTCTATGTGCAACAGTGTCAAATGCCTTACTGAAATCTAGGTAAGCATTGTCTACTGCACCACCCTGATCTATAATTTTAGTTACCCAATCAAAAAAATCAATAAAATTAGTTTGGCATAATCTCCCTGAAGTAAACCCATGTTGTCTCTGATCTTGAAATCCATGTGTTTTTAGATGTTCAACAATCCTATCCTTTAACATGGTTTCCATCATTTTCCCCACTACTGAAGTAAGGCTTACTGGCCTATAGTTGCCCGACTCCTCCCTATTACCTTTCTTGTAAATGGGCACAACATTCGCTAACTTCCAATCTTCTGGGACTACTCCTGTTAACAATGATTGGTTAAATAAATCTGTTAATGGTTTTGCTAGTACACCACTAAGCTCTTTTAACAGTTTTGAGTGTATTCCATCAGGTCCCATTGACTTAATTGTCTTTACTTTTGAAAGTTGAAATAGAACCTCTTCCTCTGTAAACTCACGTGTAATAAATGACTCATTTATCCTTTTTCTCAACTGAGGTCCCTTTCCTTCATTTTCATCTGTAAATACAGAACAAAAACATTAATTGAGGCAGTCAGCCAGACCTTTATCCTCTTCTACATACCTTCCTTCTTTTGTTTTTAATCTAACTAATCCTTGTTTTACCTTTATTTTCTCATTTATGTATCTAAAAAATGTTTTATCCCCCTTTTTTACTGACTGTGCTATTTTCTCTTCTGTGTGTGATTTGGAAGCTCTTATAACTTGCTTAGCCTCTTTCTGCCTAATCTTATAGATCATTTTGTCTTCCTCACTCTGTTTTTATTTTATAATTCCTAAATACTAACTTTTTGTTTTTAACTATTTTGGCCACATCTGTGGAGTACTACAGTGGTTTCTTGATTTTTTTGATAGTGGCTGTAGTGTGTGTATGGGGGGATAGATGCTGAAATAAATGCAGGGAGGCACAGGGACTGAGGTGGGCATTGGGAGGCTCGGGGACTGAGGTGGGGGTGGGACTGGACAGAGTATGAGGTGGGACATAGAGGTTGTGGTGAGCGCAGGAGGGGACATAGGTGGGAGCTGGGGGTCTGAGGTGCATGCAAGGAGAGATGTAGTGTGGAGGGAGAGCTTTGGTTAGTACAGGGGGGCTGAGGTGGGTGCAGGGAGACAGGGAGCTGAGGTGGGTGCAAGGGGAGATGTGGTGTGTGGAGGGGGAGCAGAGGTGGGTACAGGGGAGATGTGTGTGGAGGGGGAGCAGAGGTGGGTACAGGGGAGCAGAGGTAAGAGGTGGGGGCAGAGGTGGGTACTGGGGAGCAGAGGTGGGTACTGGGGAGCAGAGGTGGGTTCAGAGGGGCAGAGGTGGGTACTGGAGGTGGGCACTGGGGAGCAGAGGTGGGTGGGTACTGGGGAGCAGAGGTGGGTTCAGAGGGTGTTAAGGTAGGAGCAGGGGGGCAGAGGTGGGTACTGGGGCTCCAGGTGGGTACAGGGGGCTGAGGGAGCAGAGGTGGGTACAGAGGGGCTAAGGTGGGAGCAGAGGTGGGTACTGGGGCTGAGGTGGTAGCAGAGGTGGGTACTGGGGGCTGAGGTGGGTTAAGGGGGGGCTGAGGTAGGAGCAGAGGTTGGTACAGGGGCTGGAGGTGGGTACTGGGGCCGAAGGGGAGCAAAGGTGGGTACTAGGGGTCTGAGGTGGGTACTGGGGGGCTAAGGTGGGAGCAGAGGTGGGTACAGTGGGGCTGAGGTGGGAGCAGAGGTGGGTACAGTGGGGCTGAGGTGGGTACTGGGGGCTGAGGTGGAAGCAGAGGTGGGTACAGTGGGGCTGGGGGGCTGAGGTGGGTGCTGGGGGGCTGAGGTGTGAGCAGAGGTGGGCTAGGGGTTCATACTTCCAGACAGCCATTACATAGGCAGCTGTCTTTCTTTCTATAGTACTCTCTCTGATACTACGTATAGACCTGACCACTAGTGGGATTAGACAGGGCAGAAAGAGACATAGAAATATAATAAATACTACTACTCCTACTAGTGCCTTAATCCCTCCAAGCTGCTCATACCAACTTCCGAACCAACTACTCTGATTATACCCGTTCCAGATCTGAGTAGGTACATGCGCAAGTTTAACCATGTGACTGGTAAGTTCAGCCACTGCCTGCCCTTCATCGTCTATGTTGTAACGGATCGCCTGGCACCCCGACTGGGTACCTCCATTGAAGGATGCTCCTAGCACTTCCTGAGGACTCCAAGCACTCTGGCAGACACCACAATCACCGAATCGGAGAAACAAATAAATTCTCCCAAGCATATGAATGCTGTAGACAGTTGAATAGGAAACCATACGAATAGGTTTACCCTCCTAGCAGTCAAACTGGAACAGCATACAATAAATCCTTCCCCCAATAATGAGACGACACTTCACTTTGAGGGTTAAACAGGAACTCCTGTGCTGGCACACCCAGCCTGGTTTTTATTACAGTCTTTCACATACAGGACCGCCCACAGGGAGGTATAAAACAACCAATCACATATCAGTTACATCCCACATATTCCCTCCCCTTATCCTGAGAGGAAACTCAATTACACATACAGTTAAAACATACTTTCTACCCAACTTTCATAACTTTAAAACCATACATCACATTCACATAAAATTACATATTCACAATCAATCCATTCAACAACATATTAAAAAATGGCATGAATCCGACCAGGGGTTCAAAAGTTAGTAAAAGTATCTTTTGGGCCCTGGCTGGCACATGGCTATCTGGCTCAAACAGGTTTTACAGAGCCCTCTATCCTGGAGACAATGGGGAAAGTAATCCAATTATCCAGGGATAGAGGCAGACTCCATTGAGCACATGGTTGCAAAAAGACATAAAACACTTTAAAATACATAAAGTCACCTTTTACACATAACACACAGACATTTCACATATCCCCAGATAGCTGGGATCTGAGCGCACAAAACTACCGAAGAGCACTCAGATCCTATTCACACAGTTCAATTGCCATGGAGCCGAAGTCTTTAACTACACGAATGGGCTCCATGGCATAGCTATCTGGGTTAACACATTCACATAAAGTCTGGTCCATAGTCCAAAGGCAAGAGGCGGGCAAGCAGCCCCCTCCAAGGACACGTGGTGAGGCCGGTTTCGCCACATATGTGCAGACAACAGTTACTTAGATTAAAATTCCCGCATACACCTCCTTCTACTGCTAGTAAGTAATCAAGGGCTAGCCTATTCTGGTATATGGCTGATCGCATCCGGGTATTCTGCTTTGCTAAGAGGTTGAGTGCTTGCACTGTCTCAACAGGTGTATTATACATTGGCCCTCTTCTAGCTAAACATACATGGCGTAAGATAGATTTTTTTAACTGCCACTCTGATTTACCTCTAGTACTTACTTGATGATCAGATTGAGACAGTATCTGTTTGTCTGTCTCAGAACCAGGGTACCATGCTTCCTTTGCTTCCCATGGCCACTGGTCTCCCATATTAGTACCTCTACATACAAGGCAGTTAGTTATATTAAGACTACCTGCAATACTCTCAGCCAAATCAATAAATAGGTTCTTAACAATATGGGGAATTTTATCCTCGCTCATCTCCTCATAGAAGGAATGAAAAACCTGATGAGTCTGGGTTGCTACTGTCTCCATTTCGATGCCTACATATATAATAGCCCCAGGATCCAACCCTGTTCCGTATATTTGGAAACCAAATAGATTTCTGAACTTGTCAATAAAGTGCTGCGGATTGGAAATGGTCATGTGAATGGGGTTACACTCCATAGATTTACAATACGGTGTAGTGGGCAACCTTTGGATAATCATATCTTGATCTACTGTCTTTCTCCAGGTCGCCCAACTTACACATGACCAATAGGGGCAGAAGTTAAAGTCTCTATTTGGGCAGTAAGGATCAGTAGATCTTTTGCTAGGGCATAAATATTTATCGTTCCCATTTCAGATTACTGCATACATTCCAAGGTTTTCTGCTACCCGAAATCGCCTTACATGCATCAAATAATAGAATACCCGTGGAATGTATGGTGCTTATCACAGTCCTATTTATTAATGGCCCCTGGGAGTTACTATTCCGAATTACCAACCAAATTGTAAGGGGTTGTAATTGGGGATCGAAACACTTGGGCTCACCTGATATTGATTGACACACACTATAATCAATATCTAAATATCTACATTTAGATACAGATCCCTTACATTCATACTCTGAGTGCCAAATAAGAGTTTGGGACATTTGATTACCTGTTTTTGTAGTCTTAATACAACTAACACAGCTTGGAATATCCTTACCTTTACCTTCCTGAAAAATTATAAAAATACTAAAACATGTAATTAAGCACATCATTCTTGTGGTCCTCATTTTATTCTTCGACCGTGCGACGGCACCTCAGCTTCCCGCTTGTGAGGGCTGCAAGGATTGTTGTCCTTCTGATCCTCACTTTCCTTCTTCGAGACACTCTGGCTTATGACACGTAGGCAGATGGTCAGGCTTTATTATGGCCATCAA